AGATTGAGCGTGTTAAGATGTGCAAAACAAAAGCTACCGTGACACTCTTTGTTTCCTTATTAAATATGCGCATACGCGTGTCAGATGTCACGTTTAGCGTGCCGTGTCATCGCACGCGTGCCCGTGTTATCACCATTATGCTGGAAATCCTGTGGAGGATCACATATGGCAAATAAAAAGTTAAGAGATATAGCTGAAGGAACTAGATTTGTTGACGCTGTAAGAAAAAGTCAACTTGATACTAAACTATCACTTTCTGGTGGGTTAATGACCAGCAATTTGGATATGAATAGCATAAGGATATACAATGTAGCACAACCAGATGGTGATAATCAACCAGCTACAAAAATATGGTGAGAAAATAAATTCCTCGATAAATGCAGTGGAGTTATGGCTGGACCACTAAATATGTCCAATAATAAAATCACTAATCTTGCCAAACCAACTGATCATAAAGATGGGGTTAATAATAAATACATTGACGATAGTTATTTGAAACTATCCGTTAGCACTGTTACTGGTCATATAATATTAAACAATGCTATCCTTATTTCACAATATCAAGCAATGAGTCGAAACACTGGAAATGCATTTTTGGTACAAATTACTAATCCTTATGTTTACCACCGATTTAATATGGTCAAAAACAAGATTATTAATCTTGGAGACCCAACAGATGATACTGATGCTGTTAATAAGCAGTATTTAGAAAAATCTTCTGTTAAACCCAGCCATTACAATAATGAATTCAAGTACCTGATTACTAAAAGATTAGCATAGACTGATCTACAAGTGGATAGTTTTAACATTACTAAAATTGATAATTTAATAACCCAAGATGTTAACTATCATCAATCCAACCACAAAGTTCTATATACAACAATTATAAAAGATCAGCAAGGAGGATACTCATATAAAATGGGACTCAATTGTTATCAACTTGATAAAGATAAACATTATACTCTGTGTATTGAAATCCTTACCAATTATGGCATAAATCAGTTGCTACAATTGATAAAACCACATTAAAGGGGGTATCAGTTGCTGGTTTTACAGTACAAAAGTTTTCTCACCGGTACACAAATAGTAGTGGCAACACTACATATTTGTATTATATCAAAATAAATGTAAACTTTCAAAAACTGTATCACGTACATTTTACAGTCTGGATCTTTATGTTAATATACCCCAATCGGGTATTGATCTCAATACTTATCCAAAAAATCGGATAAAAAACTGGATGATTGCTTATGCTGTTTTTGGAAAAGTGTCATCGATTGACCCCAAAAAAAACATATGATTACCATACGGCATTTGATATTAAGCCGACTGAAGTTATTTACAATGTTGATCTGGATATGAACAGAAAGAAAATATTGAACATTGCTCCTGATCGCACTAAAAATAATTCAGCAGCTACTGTAAAGATGGTCAAAGATTTGGGAGACAAAATTGAGCCCTCATACAACAAATAATGCGTACAGGGAAATATTTGAGGAATTTCATGATTTCAGTGATGCTAGTATTTATAGAATTGTAGTTGCAGGACGACCATCAGGTATCATAATTAACGGCTTGCTACCTAACATATATTTCACAAATATGAATATTGCCAATGTTGAGGAAGGAGGATTGAGGATACAGAATAAACCAGTGAGTTTAGGATTATTCGGTAAAAGGAGCTTTACTCTTTGTGTTGTTATGCAACTATAACTGAACAAATTCATGTATATAAAAACGTTCATGAGAGATGAAATTGATGAAAAACTACATTTAATTTATGACAAAACAACAAAGAAATTGACACTGCAAACTATTGTTTCAAGAGAAATTGAACGGTTCTTATGTTCTGTAATTTTCCTACACTACTAATATAATGAGTCAGAAGGAAGATATATTCCACTTTAATCATATTGATAAAAGTAAAACAAAAGAAGAGATCCAGGAGATCAAAGAGTTGTATAAATATTACCATTTCAAATATTGGATTTACCAAAAGGCATATAAATACTTCAAAAAACTGAGTCTCCTGTTAAACATGTCCTCAACTGGCCTGATAATAATCGGGACAGTTGCTGGTGGTTTGACAGCCAACCCAGCCATTATAGTAAGCATAACAGGTGCTGGTTTAGCTCTAAAAACGTTCTCTGAGACAAAAGACTACAAAAAAAATTAGATGACTCGGTTTTCTTACACTACTTACGATAAAGTATTAGTTGAGCTGAGGACTTCGCTGCGTGGTGCTACCTTTAATAAAAACGACTTCTTGAAGGAAAGGACAGTCCTGGATGAAACAATTGTGAATTTTGCTCCATTGGTGACAAGATTTGAAAAGCAGTACGCTAAAAAGTTCCTCTCCATCCAACAGACACTGCTTCTACCGAGTAAACAAGATGGCGGACAGTTTTGCGCACTAATCTCATCCCCAGGGCCCTCTCGCACAATGAGTCATAGGGGGCTTCCCCTTACTTCCTGTCTAAATTCTGAGAAATCAGCAGATCTACATTGGCCTTGATTAGAGCATAGACTCTCTCCCACCAATTTTCATAATATTTCAACGTGTTTTTTATCCGAGTAAGAGGAATAATCTTGTATTCTATTCCTAAAATATCAAATAGTTGTTTAATTAGAAAGTTTACACTGACAAGCCTTTTTCGGTCAAAATTATTGACTTCCGGTGTAACATTATCAATTAGTTTGAATATTCTCAGGATATTCTCTCTATTCTCTCTAGTAGCCAATTTGAATGGTGTTTATTTGTGCAATATCATTCACGACATTCATGATGTGATATTTTCTGTGATATACGGACTTTCTTTTTTTGTATCTGCTGTTAAATAATCATGGACTTGGCCACAATTCTCACACACAAGAAGGTCATCCTTGATCAGTCTCATACAATCGCAGCAAAAATATCGCCTAGGCTTACAGGGATCCTGAATTTGTTTATTACAAAAGATACAATTGACTTGACCCTCCTGGATCAATAACTCATGAACTTCTTTATTACACATTACTATACTATATTTTTATCCTTTTAAATAGTTTATGGTTTTGCCCCCACTGAGACTGCGCATTACCAGAGGGAAAACCCCCTTAGAGGAGGACACAAATTACATCCCACATGTTTAAGAATATTGAATTAGACTTGTCTATAAGGCCAATTTAAAATAGTACTAGGGTGTATCTTGGTGAAGGTATTACTAGTGTGGAAAAAACGCGGGCCCCCTCTGGTAATGCTAGTAACCCAGGTACCCTTGGGGTAAAGGCCCGCGGCTCCATCATCAACATTGGAAGGGAAAAATGGGAAATGGGGAAACTCCTTTGTAGACGGTGTCAGGCCGTTGGGTAGAGCTGTAATTGCACTGAGGACCACTCGTAAGAGGATGCCTAAGGGCACAGCGAGGTGCATAGGCGTGCTGGTTCGCCCCCAAGCTCGAGAGGGAAAAAGAACAAAAATGAAATAAAATGAGAAAAAGCCCTGTAAATGGTTGGCCTATGGGTCCCTGTAAATGGTCGGCCTATGGGTAATAGTAAGGAGGGACTGAGGGGAATGGGGGAAATGGGGAGGTGGTGATGGGAAAATGGGGGAGTCCTCCTGAGAAGGTCTGGTGGCCACTAGTTTTGCTAATTTTTTATTTGATAATGGCCGTAAGCATAACTCGTAATTCCATCCTCATGGATATATCTTTTATCATCAACGCAGCTCAAACTAATTGTGTTTAAGAGGTAGCTACCAATCTGATGACGGTCACTCCTAATTGTGCGCATAGTATGTAACGTTTGTTCCCATTCAATAAGCAATCTTTATAATTCTCATGAGTTATATTGTTTTTAATAACATATTTTCTGACCCCCTTAGCTCTCATTTTTACTATTATCTTTCACATAAGAATACATTTTACTTCTCAGGCCAATAAATTCTCTGATTGGCATTGCCAGCTGCCTCATCTTTGAATTTACCAATTACTTTCTTATTCTCAACACTAAAGTATGGACTATCCTTTGGGTAATCACTATCGTCAAATAATTATTTGTCCTCCCATAATTCCTTATAAACACCCCTTGTCTCAATCTCATAAAAAAGACTATCCGTATCAGTAAACAATAGTTTAGCCTTATTATTGTACCTACTTTTGACATAATTATAGTGAAAATCATACATGAGGGGTTTTGATAGATCAAGAATACACATACCCATGTAAGCTGGCCGGTCTAGTATCAGTGTTTCTTTAATCTTGTGAACTGCCACAAGGTCCTCATTAAAGATCTTACTGTTAACGTAGGTTGGCTTGCTAACAAGTTTGGACAACTTCTTTTGATCAGTCACTAATCTCACATCAACGCGCTTTCTTATGTTGTCCATGGTTTTTCCGAATACTGAATTATTTAATAGCTTAAAAAAAGTCCTTCTCAAACGCATTCTTAGCATTCATCCTCTTTTTAGTGTTAAAAGTAATGTACTGTGCCAGCCAGGGAGACTGGTCAAATTCTAATACCCTGTGGACTTTCCTCAGTTTAAGATCGAGAGACAGATAGAGTTGCAGATTTCTGTAGTGTAACACAATTCTTTTACTAGATAGTGTTGGAATTAGCTTAACAACCTGGCTAATACTTATTCCAAACAGCTACTGAATATTTTTGCAAAAGGGAGAGAGCATTTCTTTGGTAACTTTCAATAATCATTATGCATCTCATGTAATTCTTTGGGATATTCCAAGTCGACTTCCAAAATCATACCCTTTTTTCTGTCTTCTGTACAGGCAGCTAGATTAACTTTTTGTATTTGTTTTTCAGTCATACACCTAAAAGCACCTGTTGGTAAATATTGAGACATCGCCCATCCATAAAGGTTATTCGCGTCTAGATACATAATATACTTACTTGGTTTCTCTGGATTATACCCACTCATATACTCATTAGCCTCTCCATGTCAGTTGGCGATGTAGGAAATACCACCACGCAATCCCTTTTCTATGAATTGGAACATATCAACATCC